GTGTGTGTGTGTGTGTGTGTGTCCTCTTGTATCTGTGTTGACTGTAGGCTGTAGAGATCCAACCTGCTGAAAGTGAATCAGATGTAGGGGCAGAGGTACTGATCTGCTGCTCGACCTCACGCAACCGAACCTCCTCTGGGTTTTATTTTCCTCTGAGAGCAGAACTCATTGATTTCACCTTCGCTTTCACTCACAACCCTTGAGCTTGCACTCAGACTTCCCTGCTCGTGCTCAGATTTCCAGCTCCTCTCGTTCGCACGACAATTCTGTAACGACGCCAGAATGTCAGGTGAAGTGATGACGAATTAAACTGCCCCGCCCACACCCTCATTTTCATTCACCGTCACGTCACCTGACTTTTCTACTGGTTGTTGCACAAAACAAACCGAGAGCAGACGTTTCACACGCACAGAAACAGGGTTCGGACCTGTGACGCATTTAGACTCAGGGATGAGCTGATATGCAAGATGTTGAAGGTCGAAGGTCACACTGGCCTCTTAAACACGTTTTGGCCTCTTTAACATAATTTATCTTAAATCTGCCTTTTGGGAATTTCTTCAAATTTTGACTAATTGTAACTCATGGAGGAATTTATAAGATTTCCTGGGTCAAAGGTCACAATGACCTGATAAATAATGTAGTGGTTGGTGGAGGACGGGGATTCTAGTTTAATCATATTATTGTTGATGTAAAATATTTTTCATAGGAGGCGGAGTAAGAAGGAGCGCATTTGTTCCTGTGATCCTTTTTATAAACTGAGACGAGCTTGTTAATGTTGAACATGTCTGACACCAGAACCACCTCTGACACTTCTGCGGCGTTGCACAGCGAACGTGACGCTCTCCGTGATCCTCCGACCTCCTGTTCCCAGTGTGACACGCACGTCTCCTCCTGTATGTGACCGCTGCACTTTACCGCACGCTCATAAAACACATGATCATTTACACGCAGGCGCACAGGGCCGACCTGAAGAGGCTGTCAGGAGTGTTTGGCGTCATGGCTGCCCCCAAGCTGTTTCTCTCCCCGCTGTCCTTTCTCCTGTTCCTCCTCCAGAGCCCCGGTGACTTTGACGCCTGGTCAGATATCAGACTCCGCAGGAACAAAGGAGCGAATCAAACATGACCCCCGACGTCCTCTTATGAAAGATATTAACTGATGGAGCTGAGGAGAGGAGTGGAGAACATGTGAACTAATACAATACACATGACGATGCATTTCTGAAACATGTCTGAGCTTTGCGTTGTTGATCAAAAGCAGAATTCAAAGCTGGAATCAGAGGAATTTGAATTTCAGCCCCGTACTTTCATCGTACATGATGTTAGGGTATTTGAATCTCGGTGCTTGACTCACCATAAAAATCTGATCGGATCTTTTAGATCACGGTCCAGACCAAAGAGGCGTTTTGGGTCCGGATCAAACTGAACCATGGTTCGGTTTGTTTTAGACCGATCACAGGAAGTACAGACACCATTAAACAATAGAAGAAAAAGAAGAGGAGGCCGCTGCCGTCTTCACCTCCGACGATGTAATGTTTGAACGACCAGGACGCTCATTTGAGCTGGTGTGGAGTAAAGTCAATCAGTCAAATTTGATTTGTGTGCGACATCTTCTGCACTTCAAGTTAAATTGAGGGAAAACAACCGAAATACAACTTTTAACAGGAGAAAAATGAGATAAAGTTCTTTAGTGCGCTCCTTAAATTACGATGTAAAAACAAAACTAACCCGATCAAATGGAACAAACACATGAAGCTCGTTTGAAAACTTTCATATCTTTATTGTTTCTTTTCTTTTCTCTTGCAGAATCCTCACCTGGAGCTGAGCAAGTATCAGACTCTGCCGGGGAAACTGAGTAAAAAGAGCGAGCGGAGACCTGAGCTGAACGGAGACGGAGAATATTCATCTCCTGTCCAGCTCTCGTCTGTGCACAGCCACGGGCAGGACTACAGACTGAGTGAGTCTGAGCAGCACTAACCAAAATACTGAATATATTGAAAATACTTTCTGAAGCATGAAAGAGTATTAGTGGTCGGACACATGAGGAGAAAAACTACTTCATTATCAATATTCTGGTTTTATTTAGATCATTTTGACTAAATTTCAACTGTATTCCCAACATTTCTTCGTAATTCTTCTTATTCCTATGATTTTGTTTGACTCATGTTCTAATAGTCCTTCATACTAATGAAAGGGACTGACAGTTTTGAGTTTATATTTTGCACGACTTAAATTTTTGAGAAGAATGTCGCTTGTTTAAAGTTGGATGAGATTGTCAGTATCGCTCTCAGGCCTTTAGAGTAAATATGAAGCTACAGACAGCGGCTCAAAGACTGGAAGAAGTGGAAATGTTCAAAGATAAAAAATAATCCTACTCTATCTGCAACTGGAAGAGCTAAAGCTCTAAAGCTCATTGATTATTACGTTATATCGTGTAAGTCCTGGTTGTAACAATGGTTTTGTGCCAGATTTCAATAGCGGCAAATTTTACACAGACAGAGCCAGGCTAGTTGTTTCCATTTACTTCCAGTCTTTATGCTAAGCTAACGAGCTTCAGGCTGTATCTCGCCACACAGACATCTAGAATTCCCTTGAATGGGAAACTGGTTCTGTGATTTTGGAAGAACAGATCCTTGACTTTTAATAATAACTAATGGACTGAACTCACCCTGAATAAACTTTGTCAACGAACTCTGCTCCAACTGCTTCCTCCTCTGTGGCCTCCTCTTCCTCCCCTTCCTCCCCTTCCTCCTCCTCTTCCTCGTTTTCCTCCTTTTCTCTTGTTTGTGTTCTGGCAACAGTCCGCTGCAGGAGTGCCAGTGCTCCGGCTTTAGGTACTGTATGCTCACATGTAAATTCAAATGTCAACACTGGAAATACACCTTCACAAGGCTGTAACCTGAATTTAAAGACTTATTAATGGTAAATTATTACAAACTAGGTCTTAGATACGTTTTAGTGGGTCTTAATTACGTCAACCTTCATTAATGCTAATTCCATTGTCATGAGCTGTAGCTCTTTCTCAACAATACAGATATAAACACCTTGTAATAAAACCAGACCAGGGATTGTTTGCATGTTGCATGTTGTTGGCATTTCGAGGGTTAAGGCTCATTTATGCTGCTTTTACGTACGAGAAGAGATACGTCTATTTCAGAGTGTGTAACCGTCACTGCCTTCGTACTTCTAATCGTCCTTTTACGCTGGCGAGGTTGTTAAGCAGTAAATCCACTAGAGGGCAGCGCTAAGTTGAATGTTTCAATGGTTCCAACTTTCCAACATGCATGTTGAAAATGTTCAAATTTGTTTCCTATGGTCACTTCACTTGAACCATTGGCTGCACTGCCCCCTCATGGTTTCTTGTGGTGCTGCTCGGATTGAAGGTGTCGCATTTATGTAGCTAATGTTGAGCATAAATCCTCCTTTAGTTTCTACTGGGCTTTCTCATCTTTAATTATGGGGAAGCGTAAGTTTCCGCTTCTGTCTTACTTCTTCAATTTGGTCTTAGAAAGTTGAAACCTGCAAAAACCTTCGGACCAACAAAATTTACATCCATTATCTCCTGAACAAAACAAGATTGTCCCGTCACGGTGAAACATCAGAGGTGAGCGACTGTTTTCACCGAGGATCAGCGAACTATAAAGCGAGGATTATTAGGACTCGCTCCCATGATTCGCAGAGCTGTGTTGGAGATAATGCTCAGCTCTCTCGTGTCAGCGTTCACCGAAACGAACACACACTCACTCTTAAAGCTAACAGGCATATAAGCACCGAGCAGCCACCCATGTATCCGCCAACGCCGAGCGAGAGCTTAGAGCAGGAGTGTGAACAGAGAGCTGTGAGAGAGCAGAGCAACTTAAGGATGCACACAGTTCAACTGGCTTTGACATCCCAGAGTAAACAAACAGGGATGCAACCTGACATCCCCACTTCTTCCTCCCGCCGCCTCACCCTGCTTGCCCTCTCGCCGGCGGTCTGAAGCAGGATGTCGCTGAGAAGGAGCGAGTCGAGGGAGCGCTTTAAGTAAACAACGAAACGTCAGCATTGAACAGTTTGTCATGAGGCAGCAACAGATTAAATTAAAACTTCCTTTGCCTCGGACATGTTTGTGTAACAACTCCAGGATGGAAATTCTTTGGTCACTCGTAGGTTAGCGCGTTGCTACTTTTCACATGTGTACGACACATATTCTTATAAATGACGTGGGTGTGACTAACGCTGGCTTCTGATTTCTGTCTACTTGCTTTCCTCCCGCTTCACTAACTGCCTCAGGATCTCCTGGGAAACATGACCTCTATGATGTCGGTGGGTACTGACTCCCAGTGTGTCGCTCTGTCATCGCACTGTTGACTTGTTTGATTCCTGGTTGAATGGATCCAGAGGTTCATTGTATACGTTGCTAAAATTGCTTGAATTGTATATTTGTACATGATTTTTGAGGAAGTCACAAACGAGACGTTGCTGAGATGTCATGATTGATTTACTGTATATGATAAAATCCATCGGACTTTGAGAGAATTCCCAGTTTACTTCCCATAAAGTGGTGAAGTACAAGCAAAAGTGTCCATTGGATACCAGTCATTGTTCACACAGAGACAATAGTTCCGTCTTCCAGTTCTCTCTCTCTGTAGGTGTTATTGTACTTTTCATCATGCAGTATTTGCATTGTGCATCCTGTAGTATTTCCCTGTATGTAAAGTATGCGATCCACATACTATTAGTTCCATACGAAGGTTTTGGACATTACTGGTCATAAACCCATTAAGGCCCCTGCAAGTTTAATAATTTACCTGATTTGCTCTCACATCATCAACCTCCCTGCTGTGTTTCTCTCTGTCAGGATGTCCAGAGAAGCGGGACGAGTGCGTCCTCTCAGACCAGTCTCCTCTGTCCTCCGGAGTGGACTCTGGACAACAGTCGCCGGTCTCACCAGAGAACAGGAAGAGTCACAGAGGCATTAAGAAGCTCTGGGGGAAGTGCGTATTCAACTGCTTGTCTTTTGGTTTCACACACAGATTTCTTCGTCATTCTCAAAGTGTTTGTCTCTTTGTCTCTTTTCGTGTGTTGTCCTCAGGATTCGCCGCAGCCAATCAGGTAGTCCTGTCCAGGTTCACGACCCGGATCTGGGAGAGTTTAAGAGAGGAGGCTTCAGAGCCACAGCTGGACCTCGACTGGCCCGATCAGGGAACACACGGTACACTTACACGCTTACATGTCAACACATATTATCATACGTGTACTCCTCTGGTAAGGGGACAAAAGTATCGTCTCATTTTAAACGATTTTTCTTTTCCCCCCAGAGACCTGAAGTTACCTTTCTCCAAGTGGAGCACAGATCAGGTGTGTGATTGGCTTGAGGACATCGGACTCGGTCAGTACGCCATCTTTGCTCGCCACTGGGTCACCGGCGGTCAGACTCTACTGTCGGCCACCGCACAAGACCTGGAGAAGGTACACACACGTACAGTTTATCACCTCTCAGTACGGATGCATCTGGAACTGGCTAATTTTTACATCCCTGACAAATGACTCATCCATCCGTCCTGTCACGTTTCGGTTCTGCTTGTCTGATCGGCGTCGCCGTGTGTCGGTCTGTTTTGGCCTTTAGTTACGCCCATCGCTGCTTCTCAACCTCCTCTTTAGTTTTGCCTTCACCGCTGTCACCTTGTCTGTCCAACGTGCCGCTCCGTCTCTCACCGTGCTCGTTTTGATTATGTAGTCTTCTGTTTTCAGGTGAATCTAAAGAGATGTCTTGTCTTTGGGGAAATTTCTCTGTGTCTCTGCAGGAGATGGCGATGAAGAACCCGCTCCACAGGAAGAAGCTGCTGTTGGCCGCCAAGACGTTCAGCAGCAAGCAGCCGGAGAAGTCCGCAGAGCTCGATTACATCTGGGTCACACGTGAGCTCTTAAATAACACACTGGCACGTTGGCAAAATATTATCCTGAACTTAATCGTCATAAAAACCAAAATATCGAATGTTCCAGGTTGGCTCGACGACATCGGCCTCCCTCAGTACAAAGATCAGTTCAATGACGGACGAGTGGACGGACAGATGCTGCAGTTCCTCACCGTGGTGAGTTTATAAAGAGGTGACGGTGAAACAGCTGCACAGTTTCATCAAAACTTAAACTTTATAGAATCCAGGATGTTGTGGGGAAAGTGAATCCATGTACACGGTGATTTGTTGCTCACTTTTTCTCTCCGTTGTTGTGTTTGCACTCAATTTTCTTCCCTTGATTTCAGAACGACTTATTATTCCTTAAAGTGACGAGTCAGCTCCATCACCTCAGCATCAAGTGTGCGATTCACGTTCTCCACGTCAACAAGTTCAACGCCAACTGCCTCAAACGCAGGCCCAGCACTGAGGTAAGAATGTGTACCTGTGCTCATGTAGGTTTTAGGGTTAGAATGCGTCTTTGCTCATCCATGAGTGTTCCTGTGTCCATCTCAGAACCAGTTCTCTCCCAGTGAAGTCGTCCAGTGGTCCAACCACCGGGTCATGGAGTGGCTGAGATCCGTGGACCTGGCGGAGTACGCGCCGAACCTGAGGGGCAGCGGCGTGCACGGAGGGCTCATAGTGAGTAGCTGTCATGACCATAGAGTGTGAATAAAGATGGACGACACGACAGCTCCATAAGTGCGGCAGAGACTTGTCGGCCATCTTCATCAACAGCCTGATTATCACCTTTATGCTACAGAACTCAGTTTAAACTCATCTCTGCTCACAGATGCTGGAGCCTCGCTTCAACTCAGACACGCTGGCCATGTTACTGAACATCCCTCCTCAGAAAACGCTGCTGAGACGCCACCTAACCACCAACTTCGACAATCTGGTGGGAACACAGGCGCAGCAGGAGAAGAAGGAGTTCACCGAGGCGGCGGGCTACTCCCCTCTCAGCATCGCGGCTAAAGTTAAGGTGAGACAACGCAAACAGGGGAGCCGTTATATTTCAGAGTAGAAGAGGGAGTGCTGCGAGTCGACGTGAGGCCGCGTTAAGAGAACACACACAGACACACAACCCGTCCTCCTCTGCTCGCTGCGTGTGAGAGAAAGCACCTTAATCCGTGGTGAGACCTCGGTGTGTCAGCTCCGTTTAAGCCCTGAGCCCCTCAGTGTTTTTAAGCCTGTGAGAACAGACTCACCCGGGGACCGCTGCGCTCCTCCTCCCAGATTAAAGACTCCGCCATCGGAGCTAAGTCCCTCTGTGCGCTCTGCTGAAGAAAAACAGAAAATAAATGATCCACCGTAAAAACAAAAAACTGTTGACCCATTTTTAACCTCGGACACCTAAAGCTCAAACGTCCTGAGGTGCTCCATGAATATTGATGTGGACGGATATGACCTGGTTTGCAGAATAGACTGTGACATGAGACGGTGAGACATGACAACATGTTGGTGCCGTGTAACTTCTGTGTCCAGATGTTCAGATATGACCCACACACATGTCTAACATTTCACAGCTGTTATTCAGAGACAGTGTCTTTCTCTTGTCTTTCTCTTTCTCCTCTGCAGCCAAAGAAGTTGGGTTTCTCTAACCTGACTCACCTCAGGAGAAGACGAGCGGACGAGTCCACAGATTACGTCTGTCCCATCGAGTCGTCCTCGCCTCAGTCGGGACAGCCTGTGGCGAACGGGACACAGATGCGCCCGTACGCCGGCTTCAGAGGCCTGAGCCCCATCCTGGACCGAGAGCCCGACCAGTCCAGGCACCAGGTGGGGCTCGACGACAGCAGGGCTCTCCCATCTCCATGACAACACCCGTGACGACAACATGGAGTTATTGTGTCGACACCACGGGCAGCTATGTTGTCACGCTTTCAGCCAATCGGCTACTACTCTGCTTCCTCTGCTTGCGGCCCATAATACCTCAGCTCATCCGCTCCCTGCTCCTTCAGACACCCCCCCCCCACCCCCATCAGCCCGACCCTGTGCCTTACTCCGAAGAGATTCACAGACCGTGTCACAGTCACGGCCGCCTGTCGTGACGGGTGCACTGAGACGATGAATCTGACGCACAAAGCGTTTTGACGATTTCATTTCCCCTCAGACGCCCGACTAACCCGACCTCAGCCTCAAACCTGTGCCATGATCTAATTCATCAGGAGAGAGCGCCTCTCTCTGGACTCTTCCTGTGACATCACTTCCTGTAACAGTATATACGGACAACTCTTGTTGTGCAGTATTAAATTTTAAAATGTGTGCACCACCTTTAGAGGATTTTTATGTGTGTGTGAGAGCCGTCACATCACTTCCACCCTTTTGTATTTTACAGGTCTGTCACATGGTTGAGATTAACTCGTGCAATATTTGCATAATCTTACAAACGGAGGGATTTTATTTAATATTTATGTGATTGCAGATCCAGTTATGAAATAGCATGTTTTCTTTGAAACCTGAGGTGGTGATTTTGTACCGTTATTTTCATATTTGACTGTAATAGTATTTTTATAGTAAAATCCTGCTCTGCTAAAGGAAGCTCACGTGTGCTCATGTAAATGTCCAAAAACAAATTATCAAATCATTTAATAAACAAAATTATACGTGTGTAAAGTTGATTCCTCCTTTTTGTAGAGAAGCAGACGAGGTGATAGAAAGTGTGTGAGATTCTTAAAATGACAAGGATGTGACTCAGCTAACGGCACACCTCAGTAACCTGCATCATTAACCACTGCTTTCATCATCATCCTCATCATCATCACTGTGTCATGGCTGCTTATGACACCAGTTTCCCCCTCTACTGACCAATCTGAGCCAACATGGCTGCTGACCATCACCACGGTCACCCGCGTTAAAGTTGGCATGAGAAGCGCATGTGTGTGCACGGCCCAGCATGCAGCTGCGGGTACAACCGTGATGCATTCACAGACCTCACAACATTTACTGCTGCGTACTGCAGCTCAGGAAGCTCGTCATTGTCATTTGGAGCCGCAGTAGTTGTCTTGGTGCGGAGCTGTCGATACACGCAGCCGATCAAATGCGAGTCAGTCTCAACTGTCAATCAAATAACTTACTTGAGTGACATGTTGTAGACGCCCAAGTCTCCTTATGACATCACATAAAATCCAGAAGTTTTATCTGGAGCTGCACCAGAGATGAATCCTTCGACATCTGTCAGTGTGGATGAGGAAAACTCATTTAACATGCACTTATACGTTTGGTCCACGTCCCATCCACCAACATGGAGGTGGTGGGATTTAGGAAAACAAGTCTCTTGACGATTTGGCTTCACTTTCGGGAGCCGTCATGTCGCCCATGTCTTTACAGTCTGCAGGTTCACAGTGTCTGCAATCATGACTTGTGATGAGCCGTCATGCATGTTTGTGTGTGTGTCTGTGTGTGTCTGTGTGTGT